GTGACTGTTCTGTATTTCTTCATATTTCATATACAATGATTTAAACTCTTCCTTGTCAAAAAGGGATCAAAGAGAGTGAAAAGGGATCAAGATAAAGGAAATTTCTCTATTCCAGGCATGACAAATATTTTGTACATTCTTCTAGTATACAAGAAGGCTTTTTTATGAACCAGATTTTGAAGTGAGACATATGAAGGGCACTTTGACTGCCAACAAAACAAACAAACAAAGAAAAAAGTCCTTGCAAGGGGATAAGAGTATATTTGAAAGAGAAGTCTACAAAAGACTTTGCTAAGGGATGAATCTTTAAGGCCATGTTTCCAGCTAAATCCTGAAAGCAGCTAAGGACAGATAATCTATTAAATGGTCAAAAGTCAAGTTGTATGTTCCAGAATAATGAGTTCATTTTAGAGCCAAGGCTAATAAAATACTTACCAAACTAATTTAAAGGCATTCTGTAAAAAATGACTCAGTTGAGAGACTGTGCTTAGACAACAGTTGCAGAGAATCTTTCAGGAAGGACTATTCCTAAGTGTCCTTAAATGATTCATTTCATTCTAAATCAGGGTAAGGTAAAATTTCAACTGCATATTTGACATTTAGAATATGTGCCCATTTTTATAATTCATGTAGTAGTAGACAACTGGGTTAAGTCATAAGCTGACCATGGCCAGTGGAGGTCTTTTATGATCTTTTCAAAAAGCTTTGAATTCAGCTCCATGTAAATAAATTATGCTCACTAGTAAAATTTGAGAATAAGAATAATAATAATGTTCATTTGAACTGGAAAATGTTTGTGTTAAAGTTTGGATGCCCTTAGTGTATGAAGCTGGGACAGTATTTGGTGAACACAGGTGTTTGACTTTGGCTGCTCTCACCTATTTGGACATGAGTGTCTCTATGTTGAAAAGGTTATGTTGCTTTCCTAAGAAGAGAAATAGCTTTCTACAACATTGGTCCACTCTATGGTGTAAATGGACTTCAAACTTTACACCTAAATCAAAATGTAATCAGATTAATTAAATGATGACTTCCAATCTTGGAACTGTTGTCTACAATACCAGCAAATTCTTGTTTTTCATAAGCTAATGGAAACTATCCCCTTTAGATCTTAATTTAAAAAACTATGACATTAAAAAATGATTGCAATCATATTTTTCTTCAGTTTACCTTCTAAAATCACTTCCTCTCAGAAAAATAACTCTCCTTTACAGGGATTTAGGAAACACTATACTAAAATGGAGATACAAGTAAAAGAACTGAGAAATTTGAATCAAAACTGCAAATTTTGACAAAAATAATGTTTGTAGATTATTTTCCAAATACCACTGTAGGG